AATGGTCTTTCTTTAATAGCTTAAAATTTCCTTGTTGCAGATCTTGTTCAATTTTCCTCTCTGCTGCATCATTCACTTTCTTTTCTGCAGGTTTAGGACTTGCAACTACAGCTCCACTCCTTGTAGTTATGGCTTGACATTGCTCTTTAGGATTGATTACTGTATTGCTTGGAAATCTTCCCTCATCCCTGCTGGATAGTTGTTCAACTAATTGTCCGATTTGTGTTTCCAGATTCTTCATAGAAGCTTCTTGGTTCTTGAAGCTTGTTTGGGTCACCTTCATGAATTGCAACATTGTTTCTTCCATCTTAGTCAACCTTTCATTCATAGGCTTGGAAAATTTCTGAGTTCCTTGAGGTTGAGTGGATGAATTCTTCTGTAAATAAGGCTGTTGTGTTGCTAGACCTGCATTAGAAAAAGGTAAATTTGAGTTAGAATTCTTTGCAGTAGAATATTGATTATTCCAATTAGAATACTGCTGAGTTCTATTATTCAAAAGTTGAAATCTAGGGGGATATGATTGCTGTTGTCTCTGAAAATTATTCATATAATTCACTTGATCTTGTGGTTCGCTTGTAGATGCCTCACACGTGCCATTTACATGGTTTCCTCCCCAAAAATCACAACTTAGTTGACTGGTAGGCATACTCCCTGTTTGCAGATTGTTGATTTGTTGAGTTAAGGCAGCTAATTGTTCTGAAAACATTTGATTTTGTAGCTGATTCTGTGCAAGAAAAGTTTCCAGAACCTTAGCTTCATGAGCAAAGTTTCGTCCTTGATTTCTTGAGTTTGAATTCTGATACATTGAAGATGCCATCATCTCAATAATTCTCTGAGCTTCATCCAAGGACTTTGTATTTAATGAACCTCTAGCAACAGCATCAACCATTGTTCTTGTTGCTGCATTCATCCCATTATAAAAAGTTTCCAATTGCATCCAATTTGGAATACAATGATGTGGACACCTTCTAAGCAATTCTTTGTATCTTTCCCAAGCTTCATACAATGATTCTCCTTCTTGCTGCACAAAGGATGTAATTTCTCCTCTCAACTTAGCAGCTTTGGATGGAGGAAAGTACTTGGTTAGAAATTTATTCACAAGTTCTGTCCAGGTTGTAATGCTTCCTTAGGGTTGAGCTTGTAACCAGCATTTTGCTCTATCTCTCAAGGAAAAAGGAAATAGTTTCAATCTGATAACTTCTTCACTAACTCCATTCATTCTTATGGTGTCACATAGCTGTAGAAAATTTGAAATATGTAGGTTAGGATCATCAGAATTTCCACCAGAAAACTGATCCTGTTGGACTAAGTGTAGTAGGGCAGGTTTAATCTCAAAATGGTTGGCTTGAATAGTTGGCCTAATTATAGAAGAGTTAAAACCTTGCATGTTAGGAATAGCATAGTCCCCTAATGTTCTAATTCTATTTTGCTCTGCCATCTCTATTGCTGGATTTGGTTGTCTCAAAGGTGTAGGTGTTCTTTTCACTCTAGGATTACTCTGAAATTCTGGGGAATGGACAGCTTCTAATTCACTATCACTTCCTATGACTTTTTCTGCTCTAGACTCTTTTCTCAATCTTCTCAAGGTTATGTCTATGTCAGGATCAAAGACCAGAATTGATTTATTCTTGTTTTTACCACGCAAATGAACAAAGAAGAAACATCTTCAAGCCAATCTCCAATCTGTTCCCTCAAGAAATGAAGCTTGGTGTTCGTCCTCAATCTCCCTCTCTGACTCTCTAAACAACAAAAACAAATGGGAAATGAAAAATGAAAAAAAAAAACTTCTAAATTCTTGAGCTAACTGTCTTTTATAGAATTCCTGCTTTGCTGGCGTGATCACTTTTTCCAGCAATAGTAATCACGCAGAGGCTAATTCTTGCTTTCCACTTGCGCGTGTTCACTTTTGCTGGTGATAGTAGCCACGCGCACTTCAAAGTGTTCACTTTTGTTGAAAATAGTAGCCACGCAGAAGCTTCCCTTACTAATGTCATGCGCGTGTTCACTTCTGCTAGAAATAGTGAACACACAGAGGCTACCTTCTTGCGCGTGTTCACTTTTGTGGATAATAGTGAACACGCGCAACAACTCTTCTTGGAGGACTCTCAGGAACGCTCACTTTTTCCAAAAAAAGTGATTACGCAGAAGCTCTTCTCATTGCAACCTCTCTGGAACGATCACTTTTGCCAGCAAAAGTGATTACGCAGAAGCTCTTCTTCATTTTATGGTTCTAGAGTGATCACTTTCACCAGCGAAAGTGATCACTCACGAAAGTGATCACTCAGAGGCTGTTCTTCAATTATCAATTTCTTTCCTCCAATTTTTGCTACTTTTCTTCTATTTTTCCTTTGATCATCCAATCCGCATGAACTTAGCTCAGAATTCCCTACAAAAGCATACTTGAAATGTCACTTTTTACATAGAAAATCAATGAATTTTAAAATAACTATGTTTAAAAGTGACATGCAACATTTTATTATTTTTTTAAGGGTTTTCTACTATTTCTAGCATGTTTTCTTTATTAATTGCACTAAAAACTATTGTAAAATACTAGTAAAATATGGATTCATCAATTGTATATTGGTATAAAATGATGGTGGTATCTGATATGTATTTTGTTTCCAATGTAGCAAACTGTTAAGTGGAACCTATCCATAAAGATATTGTTCTTACATTAGCAAGACGGAATCTTCATGCATTCTGCACATGGATAAGGAAACATATCTTGGACAAGGATGAAAATTGTCTCCCCTATCCTCCAGAGAAGTATAAGAGATTCATAACAGTGACTAATCATTGGAAAGACTTTGTCAACCAAAGCCGCATAGAAGATTTTAAGGTAATTTGTCTTTTATTTACTTCAATTATCACTTGATTTATAGTTGGTAATTGATTTGGTTATTTTTAAATGACTAATTTCAGAAAGAAAGTGAGGCTAATGCAGTGAGGGCGAAAGAAATGTCTTACAGATACAGATACAGAGACTTATTCGATTCCTTTCTAATTTGTTTATGCTTGAATCCCTTTTAATTCAATGTATTCATATCCCATGCCAATTGAAGTTTAGCCACTTAAATTCAGTAACTTTTTTTCTTAAATTTATGACTATATGAAGGTATTTGATCTTTTATTATTGTGCTAAATAATCAAGGGCAAGGCTTGGTGAAATGAAGATGGAAAGAGGGAGAAGCAAAGTCCTTATTACCAGCAAATCTCACCTGGGTGAACTCTGGGTCGCTTGAGCGAGGTGTGGGGCATCTGAGCAAGGACGTCGAGCTACAGGACCTGCATTTTGCTGCATTCTTGCTCAAGCGAGATAACTGTCGCTTAAGCAAGAGTCTCACCTGAGCGACCAAAGATCTCTCCTGGGTGACATTAACTAAAACTGGAGGGCGCTTCTATGTAGTTCTTGCTTGAGTGAGAAAATCCTGGCTTAAGCGAGAATTCATTAAATGCCCCAAATTAAAAGAGCCCAAGCACAATAAAAAAGGATCATCCATGATTTGGAAGAATTGTGGAGAACCTAGGGCAAGAAGAAAAGCGTGGAAAAGTAACTACACCATTGGAGAACTAATTTTTGTTCTCTTTCAATGTATTTTCTTGTTGTTTGGTACATTATGAGTGGCTAAAACTTCATAGGGGATTGGATGTAATCTTAACTTTCTGAGTATTTTAGTTCATTAATATAGTTGTTTATTTACCATGTGTTGGGTGTGTTTATTTTGATATTAATGCTTGCTTCTACATTACAAGGAATGATTCATGATTCGAGAATTTGGGATGAGTTGGGAAACTACCTTGGAACTCCGTTAAGGTAAATACACGCGATAGGTTGGAACTCTAGGATTAGTGTTTAATCTGTTGTATGCTATATAACTCTTGTTAGTAATGTTGAATTATTTATTGTTTCGGTAAGGGATTATTATTCACTAAATATATCTTAGAATCTTGGGTGAGAGGAATCCAACGAGTGAATATAATAGGGAGTGCATCATAAGACCATGATAATTATGCACTTATATTATGACTAAAATACGAAGTTAGTGATAGATGAAATCCAATCCCTGCTTTTCATCATTATAGTAAATTTATATTTTGCTATCTTGCTAAATTTTTATGAAACCAATTGATCAAAAGCACATGAATGGTACTTGTAAATTTGTGAATAGTTAGGATTATTATTTTTAGTTGGGATAACTAAAATTACTTATGTATCGCCATTCCTTATGGATATGATAATCTTTTATACTACATCGAAACTTGGTACAGTTGCGTAAATCTTTTAACAACTTTCTGGCGCTGTTGCCGGGGACTGTGCTAGATACTTAGTAATTTTAGTTTTATCCTTATTAAAAATTTATTCAATTACTTTTTGTATGGATATTGTTTGTTTACTTAATTATCCTTGTGCTTATTTCCTTGTGAAGTATTTGTTCTTGTATGCGAGGTCATAACTCGGTTGAACCCTTTGTTTTTTATTCAAAAATAGAGAGATCAATTAGTAAAAAGAGACATGCAGCAAGGAAAAGAAGGCAACAAGGAAAGAGTAAGAGGGACCTTCTCAACCTCAACTTGAATCTCAATCTGATCAACCACTTTTCAACCAGTCAAAGATGGAAGAATAAGGAGTTGATCCGCTAAGGAGAACCCTTGGTGACAATGCAGTCTAGTATGGACCAAGGCACTTCTCTAGCATAGTGGTTCCCATCACTAGGTTAATGGAGATGAAGCCAACATTCCTTAGTCTTGTGGGTGCCAATCCATTTTCACTACTTGAACATGAAGACCCGCACACTCACCTTTGTACACTTTATGAGTTGTGTGGCATAATAGACATCCCTCAAGGAAGTGAAGAAGTTGTATACTTGAGATTTTTCCCTTTTTCTTTGGTGGGAAAAGCAAAGGCATGGTTGCAATCACACCCAAACCAAAGCCTCACTAGCTGGATTGATGCAGAGGAAAAATTCCTGAATAGATTCTTTCTACCATCCCAGTTTATCACTGTCAAATCTGACATTTTAGTGTTTCGACATGGGGCTGATGAATCTTTTTGTGAAGCTTAGGAGCATTTTAAATCCTTGTTGAGGAAATGCCCTAATCATGGGTTTGATGATATTGCCCAACTCAATATATTTTGCAAAGGTTTAAGGCAAGACACTAAAATGATCCTAGATGCTGTAGCTGAAGGTATAATGATGTCAATTGATGTTGAATAAGCCACAAGAATCATTGAGGCTCTCGCCTCCACCGACTATCAACCTCAAGATCATAGGCAGCCAGTTCAAATAAAAGGAGTTTTAGAGCTGAATACTACATATGCATTATTAGCTCAAAATAAAATCTTGACTTAGCAAATTGAGGCTCTCACCAAGCAAATATCCAGCCTGCCTCAACAACTGCATGTTGTACTCATGATGAATCCAAACTTTATAGATATTTTGTTTGGTTTTTATAAAGTTTTAATAGAAAAAAATAGACTTAGAGGTTGTAAATAACATTAAAATCTTATTTAGGTAGAAAACAATAGCTTTCTTAATTTTTGTCTTATTTCCATTAATTTTTGTGAATATATTTTACAATTTTGATCATTTGAATAATTGTGCAAGAAATTCTAGACAAATTTCATGAATTTTTGGCTCTTTGAAAAAATATGAACTGAGAGTAACTACTATCAGATACCAGAGTAATCACTCCAGGGAGCTGGTTTCAAGGGATAGGTCAGAGTAACCACTTTCAGATATCAGAGTGATCACTCCAGAAGCCCCAAACCCCAAGTGTCCTGCGCGTAAACACTCTCAGAAATGGGAGTAATCACTCCAGAGACGCCCAGAAGGAAGTGCCCTGCGTGTGTTTACTCTCAGAAATGAGAGTAATCACTCCAGAAAGGGAAAAAGCTAAAGTTACTGCGCGTAAACACTCTTGTTTACAGAGTGATCACTATGGGGCCATGTCAGACTTAGTATATATAGACTTTTAGAAATTAGGGTATGGGATGATTCATTTTCCTTAGATTCTTTTGCCACTTTTGGAGCATTTTGCAGAGCTTAGGATTCTTGGGTGACAGCCAGGGATCCATTATAGGTTTTAATTTCTAATTTCCCTTTTGATTTTCCTTGATTTTACATTAATGTTGTTTATGTTTCTACATTTCCTTCTTTCATTTGTGAAGCCCATCCATATGGAGGGCTAAATTCTCTTTTAATTCCTAGTCAATTCATTTGGTTCTTGAATTCTTGGGTTTAATGGCAATATTAATCTTTCTTTCCTTGGATTTATTAACTCCAATCTCTGAATGAAATGAAATTTGCATGAGGGGAACATTGCGTAATGAACCCTAAATTACCCAAACGAAATTCTAATCTAAGATTGCTTAATTTTGATTAATCTTTGAGATTGCTTAATCTTAGGGATAGAGGTTAGAGCCAATTAAGATGCTTAATTTTAATTGGGATGCTAAAGTTAATTTTTGCTTGTTAGATTAACTTAATTCAAAGGGAAAATAGAGGATTATTGAATTATTTGAAAGAATAGGGATAGAACTCATTGATTGACTAGGGATTACTCTTTTTAATTGATTGGATTTCATTAGTTTACATTCTGCTCTTGATTAAAATTTGGAAATTGACAAACCTCCCCCCAATTTACTTGCTTTAAAATATATGTTTACACTTGTTCGATGTATGTTCCCAACCAAAAGTTCCTTGGAGATAACCTAGGACAACACCCTAGTATTGCATTTATATCTTGCATATTTGATGAGGATTAACGACAATCTTTGTGCATAACGAGTAGCGAAAATTTGTTCCATCAAATTGGCGCCGTTGCCGGGGAACTTTGGTGTTAATTTTGCATTGAACCTGTTAGTTGCTCTGTTTTAGTGTTCTATTTTCTATTTTTCTGCATTATTACTCTGTTTTTGCTGCATAATTCTGCAACATTTGTTAGCTTATGTTGCGTTTTCTTGCAATTAATTGCAATTCCTTTTCTGTTTTTGTTGCTTAACCTCTTTGCTTCATTTTACTGCACATAGACATTAGTTTTCTGCATAATTTTCATATGATTTTTTTGAATTTTTTGCTGTTTCATCTAGCTTACTTCTTTTCATTCCTTATAATTAGTTTCTAGTGCATGACCAGATCGAATCCTGGGGACTTGTATCCACTTGACCCAAAGATTGATAGGACATTTCATAGTAGCATTAGAACACATAGGAATAGTTCTGAACATTTTGAAGAGTTTTCATCTCCTTCATCTATCTATTCATCACCCCATTCATTAGAATTTGAAATTGAAAACATGGCTGACAATGAAAGAACATTAAAGGAACTAGCTGCACCGGATGTAACATATCAAACTTTATGCATACAGTATCCTGATATTGATGCTTCTTTTGTTCTAAAAACTGGACTAATACACTTGTTGCTAAGATTTCATGGCCTTGCAGGTGAAGATCTGCACAAGCACCTCAAGGAGTTCCATATTGTTTGTTCAACTATGAGGCCACAAGGTGTGCCTGAGGAGCATGTCAAGTTAAAGGCTTTTCCGTTCTCTCTGGTGGATGCAGCCAAGGATTGGCTCTACTATCTCCCTCTAGGATCTATTGCTAGTTGGGACAACTTGAAGAGACTTTTACTGGAGAAATGTTTTCCAGCATCAAGAGCTGCGTCCATAAGAAAGGAAATATGTGGGATAAGGCAACTTGAAAGAGAGACCTTCTATGAATATTGGGAAAGATTCAAGAGGTTGTGTGCTAGCTACCCTCATCACCAAATTAGTGATCAATTGCTCATACAGTACTTCTATGAAGGACTGCTCCCTATGGACCGAAGCATGATAGACGTCGCAAGTTGAGGGGCATTGGTTGACAAAACTTCAATTACAGCCCGAAATTTGATGGAGAATATGGCTGCCAACTCACAACAATTTGCAACAAGGTAAAATTCTTGTGTTACCAGAAATGTGAGTGAAGTTCAAGTTGCTGAGTCTAGTAAAATAGAACACAAGCTTGATGAATTGGCATCCATGGTGAAGCAATTGGCTTCTATGCAAAAGAGTGTTGCTGCATCCTCATCTGTTCCACCACCCATTCCAGCCATGTTGTGTGGTATTTGCTCAGCTACAGACCATTACGCTGATAGCTATCCTACACTACAAGAGTCTGATACTTTAGAAGGTAATCCTCAGGCCTATGCTGCAAATATTTACACTAATAAATTTCCTTTTCCAAATTCGCAGCAGCAGGCCAAATAGATACAACCCAGGCTGGAGGAACCATCCAAATTTGAGATGGGGGAACAATTCTCAACAACAGAACCAGCAGCACGACACTCAATATCAAGCACATCATGCTGGCCCAAATAGATTCCATCCATCTCAACATCAACCACAACAAGCCCAACAACATCACCAATTATCTTCCTCACAACCAAATGCACCCCAGAAAAATGAACCATCACTGGAGGAGCTCATGAAGCAATTGACCATGAACAACATCACTTTCCAGCAAAGAACCGAGGCTAGTATTAAGTCTTTGGAGAACTAAATGGGACAACTAGCCTCATCTCTGAACCAGATGCAATCTCAAGGTTCAGGAAACCTCCCTGCACAAACTGTAGCAAATCCTAAAAATGTGAGTGCAATCACTCTGAGGTCTGGAAAGGTGATGCAAGAACCCACAGTGTCCAAAGAGAAAGAAGACCCAAAATATGCTCCATCTACAGTTGAACTAAATGGAGAGGAAAAGGTTCAAGAACAACCAGAACCTACATCTGCCCAACCAAAGGTGGCAGAAAATGTTGATAGGCCAATTCCTCTACCATTTCCTCAGAGAGTTATCCAGCCAAGCAAGAAGATTGAAGAGGCTGAGAAAGAGATCCTTGAGACCTTCCGAAAGGTAGAGGTGAACATACCTCTACTAAATGCAATCAAGCAAATACCCAAGTACGCCAAGTTCTTGAAAGACTTATGCACCCATAGGAGGCGTCTTAAGGGTAATGAGAAGGTAAATATGGGTAGGAATGTTTCTGCACTCTTTGAAAAACAAAAGTCCACAATGCCTGAGAAATGTAAGGACCCAGGAACATTCACTATCCCATGCATTATTAGTAATAATATGATTGAGAATGCCATGCTAGATTTAGGAGCATCTATAAATGTCATGCCATTGTCCATTTTTACTTCACTGTCTCTTGGCCCTCTGTAGCCTACATGTGTGGTTATTCAGTTAGCCAACAGAAGCATAACAAACCTAGCTGGGATTGTTGAAGATGTATTAGTCAGAGTGAATGATCTCATCTTCCTAGCTGACTTTTACATTTTGGACATGCAAGAGGGAGAATCAGTGAAAGGTGCTGCACCAATCATTTTGGGAAGACCGTTCTTGAAGACTGCAAGAACGAAAATTGATGTGAACGCTGGGACGCTCACTATGGAGTTTGGAGACAGCATTGTGCGCTTTAACATTTTGGACGCCATGAAGCATCCATTGGAAGAACACTTTGTTTTCCAAATTGATTTGCTGGATGATTTGATAGATGATCAATGTTCTGAATTTTTAGAAGAAGATTTTGCTCTTAATTTTTCTGAATTTATAGACAATTCCATTTGTGAATACTGTAATAATTCTTCTGTATGTGACAATTGTATTTCTAACTTTTTGAATGTGAATTCTGCAATTTCTGTTATTGAGGAAATTGAAAAATCAATAGGGGAAGAATGTGATATTTTGAGTTCAGCAAGTATAATTGAATCTAACCCCTTTGACTTGAATGTTGCAGAAATTTCTTCTACTGAAAGTGCCAAGTCACTTCCCTCTGTGGAGCAATCTCCTACACTAGAGCTTAAACCATTGCCAGAGCATTTGAAATATGCCTATTTAGAGGAAAATGAGAAGCTCCCAATGATAATCTCCACCAAGCTGAATATCAATCAAGAGGAGGGGCTCCTAGAAGTGATAAGGAGGCACAAGAAGGCTATAGGCTGGACGCTTGCTGATATTCCTGGAATCAGCCCCTCTCTTTGTATGCACAGAATATTATTGGAGGAGGGTGCTAAACTAGTGAGACAGCCTCAGAGGAGGGTAAATCCCATCATTTTAGACGTGGTGAA